AGAGCAATGTTGAGGGATGCAGGCCTAAAAAAATCATTTTGGGCAGAAGCAGTCAATACCGCCTGTTATTTGGTGAATCGAGCTCCATCAACTGCAATAAAGCTGAAGACACCAATGGAGACGTGGGCTAGTAAACCAGCTAATTATTCAAACCTCCATGTATTTGGAAGTATTGTGTACGTGATGTACAACTCCCAATAAATCTCAAAGTTGGATCCAAAATCCAGGAAATGCAAATTCTTGGGGTATGCTGATGGAGTCAAGGGGTATCGCTTGTGGGATCCTACTGCCTGCAAAGTGATCATCAGTAGGGATGTTATATTTGTAGAAGATAAACTACAAAGAAAAGAAGACGATAATAGCATTGAAAAGTCAGAGACTACACGGATACATGTGGAAAAAGAGGTTGAACAAGGAGATTCTTCTGAAGCAGAACCAGCATATAATGAACAAGAACCAGAGAGTTCTGAAGCTCCAACAACTCGTCAATCATATCGTGTGAGAAGGCATCCCAATTGGCACTCAGATTATGTTATAGAAGGTAATATTGCATATTGCCTTTTAATAGAGGACGGTGAGCCATCAATATACCAGGAAGCAATAAACAGCTCAGATGATTCACTGTGGATGATGGCGATGCAAGAAGAAATCGAAGCCCTTCATAAAAAATAACACATGGGACCTTGTGCCACTACCACAAGGAAGGAAGCCAATTGGTAACAAATGGGTCTTCAAAATCAAGCGAAATGGTGACGATCAAGTTGAGAGGTATCGTGCAAGACTGGTGGTCAAAGGATATGCTCAAAAAGAAGGTATTGATTTCAATGAAATATTTTATCCTGTGGTTTGACTAACAACAGTTCGAGTAGTTTTGGCAATGTGTGCTATATTGAACTTACATCTAGAGCAGCTAGATGTTAAAACAGCTTTTCTTCATGGAAATCTTGAAGAAAAGATTTACATGTTCCAGCCTGAAGGTTTTGAAGAAAAAGAAAAGAAGAACTTGGTTTGCAGGTTGAACAAATCTCTGTACGGTCTAAAGTAGGCGCCGATGTGTTGGTATAAGAGATTTGATTCCTTCATTATGTGCCTTGGATACAATAGACTTAATGCAGACCCTTGTGCTTATTTCAAGAGGTGTGGTGATAACGATTTTGTTATATTATTGTTATATGTGGATGACATGTTGGTTGCAGGACCCAACAAAGATCATATTAAATAATTGAAGGCACAACTGGCTAGAGAATTTGAAATGAAGGACTTGGGATCAACAAAACAAGATTCTATGGATGCAAATTCACCGAGACAAAAGTAATAGGAAGGTTTGGCTTTCACAAAAGAATTACTTGAAGAAGATCTTATCACGATTCAACATGCAAGATTGTAAGCCAATTTCTACCCCTCTTCCTATTAACTTCAAATTATCCTCCAGTATGAGTCCTAACAGTGAAGAAGAGAGGATGGAGATGTCTCGAGTACCGTATGCATCAGCAGTGGGAAGTTTGATGTTCGCTATGATATGCACAAGACCAGACATTGCACAAGCAGTGGGAGTGGTTAGTCGGTACATGGTGAATCCAGGCAAAGAGCATTGTAATACAGTAAAGAGGATCCTGAGATACATCAAAGGGACCTCAAATGTTTCATTATGTTACGGAGGATCAAACTTACTAATCAATGGGTATGTAGATTCTGACTATGCAGGGGATTTGGATAAAAGCAAATCTACTACAGGATATGTGTTCAAAGTTGCTGGTGGAGCTGTAAGCTGGGTTTCAAAATTACAGTCAATTGTGGCTACATCCACAACAGAAGCAGAATATGTAGCAGCTACACAAGCCAGTAAAGAAGCAATTTGGTTGAATATGCTATTGGAGGAGCTTGGGCACAATCAAGAGTATGTCTCTCTGTTTTGTGACAGTCACCTCTCTGTTTTGTGACAGTCAAAGCGCCTTGCATTTAGCAAGGAATCCAGCATTTCATTCAATAACAAAGCACATACGAGTTCAGTACCATTTCATTCGTGAAAAGGTGGAAGAAGGAACGATATATATGCAGAAGATCCATACAAAAGACAACATAGCTGATTTCATGACGAAGGCAATCAACGCTGATAAATTTACCTGGTATCGATCCTCTTGTGGCCTGTCAGAGACGTAAGCAACATGATGGTACAAGGTAGAAAGAATGGTGTAAAGATATGATTGTTCCAATCAAATCTTCAACTGGGAGATTGTTGAAAGTCATGGGCGGCTGCATTATTCATTAGCAGCCGACAGCTATAAAAAATTAATTAGGAGCCAAAATTGTTGAAAATTAGCAAGGGTAAAATACCCAATTTTAGTCACTAAAATTTAGGGTATTTACAAATTAGTCCTTAAGTTTCAACTATAAATACCCTAGCTCATTTAGCTTCAAAACCATCCCAAAGCATTCTAGCTTTCTTCCAATACTAGAGAGAATTTAGAGAGTTTCTTGAGAGTTTTTTCTTTTTTATCAAGAGATAATTATCATTGTTTTCTCCTTGGTAGATCGAGAGAGGTTGTAATTCCTATTTTCTCATAGTAAAATTCTTCTACAGTTGCCCGTGGTTTTTACCCTATATTATTTAGGGGTTTTCCACGTAAATTTTGTCTCTTTCATCTTCATTTTTATTTTCTCAAATTATCAGTTACGATTTTGCTTTATCCGATAACCGTCTTGCACAACAGAGATTCCAACTTCCTCCCCACTCAACCAAAACCCCTTCATATGTTTCAGTCAGGAAAAACCCAACGCCGTTAAATTTCCGTACATCCAATATTAACATTATTCCTGTTAAAATAGTTTATTATGTATCCAAAAAGATTTTGATTTATTTAAGTCAATAATATTGATAAACACGTTTTGGGTAAGTGGAACGCTGTTTTTCCCTTCATAATGGCAACTAAAATGCGAAGATTCCAGGACAAAAATGTCAACCATCCTGCACTAAACCCGAGACTTGCATGGCACGTTAATTACTACTAGCATGCCCTAATCTAATTATTTAAGCAGTAATATTTTTTCACTACAGCTTTTTGATTGTTCGGTGAAAATTACAAAGAAAAGATGTTCTGATTGATCTGTTCGTCTCGGTTAATTGTTACTACAACTAAAATTAATCACGCAAAGGTTTTAAATTTGTTTTATTTAAAACATTTAACAATCAAAGAAGGGAGCCTTCAATTTCAAGTCGGGTTGTTTTGAACGGGTGAAGAATATTGGAAACGGGGATTCAGCAAAATCCGTGCAACATGCAGATTCAATAATAATTTATTTCTTTTCCGTATTCGAAATAGTAAATATTAAACTGTTTTTTTATTTGTAGTTTTCATGCAAAACGCGGTCGTAGTTTTCTACATCGTCCGTTGAATTTCTTAAGTTCTCTCAAATCACACACTAACCCCACCTTGTTGACAAAGGCACAAAGCTACCCTTTTCTCATTTATACAAGGATGAAGACATAAGACCTTCTCCGCCAATATTTCCCCATTATTTCAAATATATTAAATATTGTTCTTTAAATTATCTATTGTTTTTCACGGATTCACTCATTAATTACAAAATTATTATATTTATAAAGAGTTGTTACGAGTTGGTAGTAAAGAGACAATAAGCTTAACCCTAACCTACCGTCTTCTGCAACCAGGTTTATATATATTATATGAATCCGAGGTCAACTTCAATGAAATCTTATGGCCTTCAAATCTAAATGAAGGGGATAAGTATGCAGATTTCGTGGATGTGATGATCCGTCAGTAGTTTGATTATCGTGTTGTATACGAAGTATTTTTACCATATCACAATACAATATATATTAGTGGTAGGGTCAGCATGATAAATATATAGTTTAATCAAATAAATATATATAGAAGTAAATCTTCTAGAGAATGCGGCACTATATAATATATTGTTTTTGAAGTCTACTCGGAAAAATCATATCTTAATATCATGAAACTGTCCTGATTAGTGGGTTCGACTTTAAAATAAATGGTACGGTCAGCATAAAAAATAGCAAGACAATATGCATTTAATAAAATAAACCCATAATTTTTACCTTCAATAAATTAAACCCAAACTTTGAATTTCACCTTTACAATTAATTAATATATCATTCTCGAATCTCGTTTTACATATATATATATATATATATGGTTGTCCTCCCGATTCTAATGTTTTGTTTTGACTAATCCGGAACGACCTATATCGTACATTTGAATTCGGTAGGTGAGTCTCCCAACAGGATTTTCTGCATACATAAAAACTTAAACTTGAGAAATTACTTAGTGATATCAAGCTGCTTATCATTTAATCTAACACCCCGTATTGGTTCGTTTTACATATATTTAATATAGTTACTACAGTTTTGTGTAAGGTAATCTGTGTAGGTTCACAATAAATCCATGCTTTTGAATTTCACCTTTTGGATTAATTAATAGTTGTTCCCTGGATGAAGTCAATTTCCAAAATTCCACCAGGCAGATTCCGTTAAAAGCTGGGATGAATGAAGGAAAAAATAACAATTTTTTTTTTTAAAATCCTTTTGTTTCATTATGAAAAAAGAAAGTCAAGGCCTCGAGAGGAGGGGACAGCCGCGTCGATTCCCATGAACCAACTTCTTTGGGCTTACGTATTCGATTTATACTGATGTTAAATAAATTTTGCACTGGATCAATAAGGTTTTTAATTATATATAATACTAAAATTCATTACTAATATATATTCAAATAATTATTTTGATCTTTATTTCTTTTAATATTTTTTTGAATTAATTAAAAATAATTAAAAAATTAACGTGAAGAACTTGACTTTTAAGGTTAAAACTATACATTTCAAACCATAAAATGTTAGAAAGAATCAAAGCATGTAGTAGAGGGATTAAATCTAAAGAATACGTAGTACAAGAAGGTGTTTGAATATTTTTCAAGGTCTTCGTACGTGTCTCAAGATTTTTTAAGAGTAATAGGTGATTTGGTGTTTGAATATTTTTAAATATTTTAAGCCTCCCATCCCTTCCTATTAAAGTCCTTCCAAGCCATAGCACATTCTTCACCTTTCTCTAATATTTTTCCAACCTAATTCTCTGCTTCTATCAAATCATTACCTGAATCCCGTCTGCTTTCCGTCAAATCCGCTACCTTTTTGATAAGCTTGAAGAAGTTAATTTGCAGAGTTATAGCTTTAGATTTAGAAAGAAGAGAAAAAAATGACAGTGATGAAAATTATATGGAGATCCATCGTCCCGACCTGTTCCAAGGGTGTCGTGAAACCAGAAGCCAAACCTAAGAAGGAAGTTTCTAAACAGAGTTCATTTAACAGGTTTGCAATGTTAGAGTTGAGTTATCCCGGTTCAATGCTTTCTGAAGATTTGTCTATCTCGCTTGCCGGTTCAAATCTTCAAATTTTCACGCTCGGGGAGCTAAAGGTGATAACCCAAAGCTTTTCATCGTCTAACTTTCTTGGAGAGGGTGGGTTTGGACCGGTTCATAAAGGGTTCATTGACGATAAGCTTAGGCCTGGGTTGAAAGATCAGTCAGTTGCTGTTAAACTCTTGGATTTAGAAGGTCTGCAAGGACATAGAGAATGGCTGGTGAGTACTTCGAAATATTTGGTTACATTTGGACATAGTTTGTTGGAGAGTTGATAAATGTTTCCTTTTTTTTTTTTGGGAGCAGACTGAAGTGGTGTTTCTTGGACAATTGAGGCATCCGCATCTTGTGAGGTTGATAGGATATTGTTGTGAAGAAGAACATAGGCTTTTGGTGTATGAATATATGCCAAGAGGCAGCTTGGAGAATCAGCTGTTTAGAAGTATATATATATATTTCTCTGCGCAGATTACCATTCAATTTTTAAGAAGAAAACCTCGAAATTAATGTAAATTAACTTGGTTGCAGGGTATTCAGTTTCTCTTCCATGGGTGACGAGGATGAAAATTGCTCTTGGAGCTGCCAAGGGTCTCGCTTATCTCCATGAAGCAGAAAAGCCGGTCATATACCGAGATTTCAAAGCATCAAATATCTTGTTGGACTCTGTAAGTATATTTTGTCCTTAAAAAAGCATGTTATTTTTTTTTCCAGGATTTGCTTCAGTTTTACTGATGTTACGTTTTGAAACATGTTCTTTTGTCCCAGGATTACAATGCCAAACTTTCTGATTTTGGTCTGGCAAAAGATGGTCCGGAAGGGGATGAAACGCATGTTTCCACCAGAGTTATGGGGACACACGGCTATGCTGCACCTGAATACATCATGACAGGTCACTTGACGGCCATGAGTGATGTGTATAGTTTTGGAGTGGTACTTTTGGAGCTTTTAACAGGCAGAAGATCTGTAGACAAGAACCGGTGTCCTAGAGAACATAACCTAGTCGAGTGGGCAAGGCCGATGTTGAAAGATCCTAGTAAACTTGGCCGAATAATGGATCCTAGACTCGAATGCCAATACTCGGAAACGGGTGCACTAAAGGCTTCTGCCTTGGCTTGCCAATGCCTCAGCCGACGCCCAAAGCGAAGACCCAAAATAAGTGACGTGGTGAAAACATTGGAGCCACTTCAGGACAATGAAGACAACCTCGTTGGCACCTTTGTTTATACGGTTCCGACCCAATGTGGTTCACCAAAAGAAGAATACAAGGGCACTGTCACTAAACATTGTGAACCAAAGGAGGTTAAGAAAGAGAAACAAAATTATCACGAAAACCATAGACTCCATAATCGCCACCATAGGCATCACAGATCGCCGAGGATGTCTCCGATTCACCCGGAAAACGACACCGTAAGGCGGAATCATAGAAATGGGTTGAATTCTCCCTTGCGCTATGAAGTTCGGGGAGCGTAAGGGTATGTGTTGGAATACTACAAAATGTAAATGGCGATGTAAATAAGCAGTAATTAGAGATTGCTGAAGGTGGCCAACGTCAAAACAGTGAGTGTTTTTTTTTCTTTAGACCAAAGACTTTTTATTTATTCTTTCTTTGAAGTAAGCAAAAGACGAGTTCAAAAATGGCTAATCCCCACCAACCTGTCTACCGAACGGCGAAATCTTCAAAACTGTCGAATACAGCTAAGCAAGGAAACAACGGGGATATATCTTTATTAAAGACGAGTACAATTAGATTGTATTAAAAAAAGGGTAAAGTATAGTAATGGTCACTGAACATTTTTGAAGCTTGCATTTAGGTCCCTAAACTTTTAAAACGTGCAATACAGTCCCCTAACATTTAATCCATTTGCAATATGGTCCCGCACCTATGAAAATTAGGGTAAATTATATAAAATGGTCACTGAACTTTTCAGGCACTTGAATTTAGGTCCCCTAACTTTTAAAACTTACAAAACATTCCTCAATTTCATTCTAAACCCAAATTCCAAAGTAATTCAATTTCATTATAAACCCTAAATTCCAAAATAATCCAATTACAATCTAAAACTCAAATTCTAAAATATTTCAATTTAAGGAGGAATATACTAGATTATCTTTAAGAATGTGATAGCGTTTTGATTTTTTTTGCTTTTGTGAAGAAAAAAAATACACTCCCTCCTCGTAAATTTAAATTTAGTGACCTTCAATAATTTAAATATAAAAAATGATTATGGAAGAAATTGAATAAAAAAACACAATCTCTCAATGAAAAAATTAAGAATCAAAATCTCCAATTGACATCCTTATAATTTTTATTTATTTCAATTATAATTTAGTTTTTTAATAGTTTGATGTGATTATAAGATAGTATTTATTCAAAAAAAATTAATTTATTAATAATGTAGATATACCCTACAAACACAATTGTTTGAATTTAAAACTTTTAAAGAAAATAACATTTTTTACCTATGAAATCACTTAACGAGTTATAATATAATTTTGTTAAGTGTATTAGAAAATTAAAAAATAGATCGTGCTAGAACTAAAAGAATACGTGACTATGAAATAGAAAGTTTACGTACGTTACGAAAACATGACACAAACCCCATCTCTTTTGAGTTAATTTTGTTATCATCAACTTAGGGTATATTATATTAAATTATTGATTATTTTATTTTATTTTTGAAGTAGTCAACTTCAGTGTTTATTTTTTTATTGTGTTTTTTATGATTTTATTAAATAATTTTTCTACACAAAATATTCGATGTAATAAGTAAATAAATATTTAATTATCATGGTAATATTTATATTTTAATTATAATAGAAATAATATAAAAATAAAATATATTTATACATCATTACTATAATTAACATAACTCATATATAAAATTTTGACTCTGCTATTTATGTAGTCTTAATATTTATATGAAAGATATAAAATATATTAACACGTATGATTAGATATAAAAACATACACAAATAATCACAAATATATTTATTTTTAAATAAATGAATTATTATCATATATTCTTACTATTGAAAATTTTTAATGTCTTTAAATTAATATTAAAAAATTATCATATGTTTTTAAATATAAAAAGTAAATTAATTAATAATTTAGTGAAGTTGGCGTCGTTTATAAAAAAAGACAGAAATTGAAGTATTTTAGAATTTGGGTTTTAGAATGTAATTGAATTATTTTGGAATTTAGGGTTTAGAATGAAATTGAATTACTTTGGAATTTGTGGTTTAGAATGAAATTGAGGATTGTTTTGTAAGTTTTAAAAGTTGGGGGACCTAAATTCAAGTACATAAAAAGTTCAATGACCATTTATATAATTTACCCTAATTTTCATAGGTGCGGGGACCGTATTGCAAACGAATTAAATGTTGGGGGACTGTATTGCAAGTTTTAAAAGTTGAGGGACCTAAATGCAAGCTTCAAAAATGTTCAGAGACCATTACTATACTTTACCCTAAAAAAATTCAAATAAAATTTCAAACACCTTAAACGTAATATTTTCAATAGAAAAAAAACTTAGTTTTCTTTTTTTGGTGTGTCGTTTCTCTTTTTTTCGTCTTTTTTTATTGACGACAACATAAATTTTAATGTTGATTGTCGATCGCTGATATTTTTATTATCTTTTTATTCTCTACATCATATCTTTATTTTTTTTATTTTTAATAAGTCTGAATGTGTTGCACGTTTTCTTATGTGTTTTGGCACGCTTTTTTTCGATTTTTGGTTGTTTTCATGCATTTTTTAAGGGTTGATTTGACATCGTCACGACTGATCAATATGATCATTATCTGATATCTTATTGATCTTTCTTGCTTTTGACCCTCAGATTGAATTTGGATACTCAGATTTGCGTTCGTTGATAGCTTTTCACGTCGCTCGAGTCTGATTCACAGTTTGTCAGTGATCTTTCAATAGTTTGATCCCCTTTTGTGCTTTGTTTGCCGATGCAATCAGATATGTTTGTATTTATCTTTGTTCGAGTTTTTTTTGTTAGATTTAATCTTTCATTGTATAATCCTTATGTTATCTTAATTTGCTAGTTTTGTTTCAATGATCATAGGAAAAATTTTCTAATTATGTGCTTAATTTATGATTGAGATCGTAAATCTTTATTGTAATTTGAGATATTTACTATTTTGAATAAAATTAGTTAATTATATAAAAAACAAATAAATTTAAATGATAAAATATATTTTATTAACTCAAATACTTATGATTATACAATTGAGTTTGCAATATGTATGTATGTAGAAGGAAAATATAAAGCACAAGGACTGTTTGAGTATGCTTTATACTGAACACAAGGATTGAGCTTTAGGACCCATTTTTCAACTAGCTTTTTGTTGCTGGTTTCATGGAGTGAATGTTCTTGTCTGGGTGCAGAAGAGAAGAAATCATGGTGGTTTCATGACGTTAGAGTGGCTGTGTCCTAGTGAGTGTTCTTCTCTGGGTGTAGATGAGAGAAAGCTTGTCTTAAATGTAGAAGAAATAATGCCGACACTTTTTATGTTTTTGTTGAGAACATTTCAAACAACTACATCTTTTCACTTTTCAGATGATAATGTGATAGATCAATTAAGTTGGCGTTATCCATTTTTCGTTTCTAATACTTTCTCTTAGATAATCTGTACCTAGTAGTGGCATCCAGCTTCATTATTTTGTGTGTTCTACTTTAAGATCATCTGCTTAAGCACTTTGACACGCCCGGTGGTTTACTTCATTGCTTTTGATGTTTGTTCAAGTTTTCTGGAGAGTAATATAATTTGGTGGATGAGTGGCTACCCCGTTGAACCTTCTTACCTTTCCGGTTGCGGAAGAAGGTTTCTTCAGCTTTCTGTAGATTCTTGTAATTTTTATTAGGAAAAACATTTGGCTGTATGAAATAGAATTGGAATTTAACATGCACCCTGTGCAATATGCTAAATTTTGAATGAGAATTATCCTTCTTGTGTTGATCCCTCCCTTTCATCCTCATTCATGACAGCATCCTCTGTGTACAGATTGTATCATCATTCTACAGTCTTTCGATCAAAGATTGTTGACTACTCTTTAAGGTTCGTGCACATGTGCTTTAAGAATTCCAGACCTGCTCATTGGGCCTCTCCTCAAATCATATGCTCATTTCCGAGTTCTTTTCGAATCCCTTAAAACCGATCTTTTTTTTCTCTCCCAATAATTATTGAAAGACCTCTAAATGGATATGTCATGATCTGAATTTTCACAGGTCTAACGAGGTGTTGTCACTCTTCGATGTTGCTCCAGAAAGTTGGTCTTACATCGCACAGGGAACTATTATTTTCCTTGGCAGTACAGGGTCAAGTGAAAAATTTAGGCCCATGACTTGGGTTGTTGTGAGGTATATATGAACGTTGTGTCATTGTCTGCATTTTCTATCCACATAATGGGCCAATATTTCTATGCATACAATATCTGCTGCCAAGATTATGCTCCCCCTCCTAGTTTTACCATACGAGAAAACAACACAAAATGAACAGCTCTAATATTGAAACTATGTGTGGCTTTACTTCCATTTTTCCAAGTAAAAACAAACGCTCAAAGTGATGCTGATAACTCGATGTCAATTATAGATACGTTCTTTTATGGCTATTGCTTTGTCTTTCCATTTGGAAACGCTCAATTGGGATTTTCTACAGATAAGGTACATTGCTTAGTTTCCAGGAAGGTTACACAAGTTCTACCACCCCAAACATGGTCTTGAAACTTTGGGATATCCCACAGAGATAATTGTCACTTTTGGTGCCGAAAGTGATTCTGCTGGTTTATCCAGCTTCCATACACATGTATGACACTGTGAATCTTTATTGCTCATTTCAAAGGTTTTATTTGTGGGGTTCAAAAATATAAAAGGAGGAGAAGAAAAGGAAAGGCCTAGATTTTTTTATTTGATTTGTTTTGTATTCAGCCTGCAACTGTAATTTTTTTGCGGCTGTTTTCATCTTCCCTGTGCCAAGAAAGGAAATCTTGGACGTAATCTACCTAACGGAATGGCCAATCAAGGGCTCTTTCCCTGTTAAAAGCTTGTCATGTTCCAAGACTCGGAGCCAATCAAAATAATACATCATATTTGGCTTGTTCATGTCTGGAAACTTCTTTGAATGCAGATGGCTATTGTAATCGGCCACCACATTTGCACCATGACTCGGATTATGGTATGGAATGAGATCACACAACACAAAGTTTAAGAAAATAATAACCATCTTTGTCTCCTGGAAATTTCCCCGCAATTTCATCGTCTGTCATCTTCATTCTTTACCTTTAATGCCAGGTTTTTTTTTTTTTTTTGGAAATATCTTTTTCCACATTAGACATTTTTCACAGCTGGCCAAGCTGAAATTTGATTCATAAAACCTCACATGCTGCAAGATGTGCAAGAATCAAGACGAAAACACAAAACGGAACGAAACCACCTTTTATTGCTATTATACTCGAGATTCAAGGATTAGAAGTTTGAAACCTGAAGCAGTTCATCAGATGTATATAACATATATGCTATATACAAATCATACATAATGTTGATTGAATTGAGATGCCGAAACAATAGAGATATCTAGTCTATGTAACGATCAATCCGATGCAGAGAAAAGAGTTCGAGAAGAAGAATATAATTCAGGTAGAAAGAGCCGAGAAACAACTTTCAGATCGAAGCATAGGAGGGGGCTTAACTCCTTCGAGTCCAGGCAACGCGCTACTAGATTTAGTCCTAAGAGCTCTGGGCGAATCCAGGCTTCGACGAAGAATCCTCCCCATGGCAAAAATAGGATGTTCCGTCTCATCCGAAGGATTCCACGCCCTAAACTTCTCACAGAAGCGGATGTGTCGCTCCAACGCTTCCTCCGTGGAGATGAGTGTCGCCGATCTCAGGGCCTCGTCTTTGACGGCTTCGATGCATAGGCCGCAAATCCAACGGCCCTGGTAACGCTCCCGGACGCGCATGATGTAAGCGACGGTGCATTCCTCGGTGAAGCCGCAAGACTCGCATATAACGCAGTGGGTTTCGAACGGAGCAGTCAGTTTGGTTGGAGTGTCTGTCTGAGCCTGAGATTGCCATTGCATGGAACCGAACATTGAGTGCTCTGTTTTGTTCTGTCTATGCTTTTGAAACCTTCTCTGTAACTTTTTATATGGTGAAGTGAGTGGAGCTGGGGAGTGAGAGATTTATCGCATGCGGATATCGGTGAGATGAAGAGAAATCAAAACATTATGTGAAATTCTGCGTTTGTGGGCTTTGTCATGGGTTATTAGAAGTGGCCTTTTAAAATTTTGTTCTTAAAATTGGAATGTGTTATGGAAAGTTTAAATCGAATGAAAAAAAAATAGTTTGATAATTTTCTTTTATCAAATAAATCACTTAACTAAGAAAGAAAAAAGATCGGAGGAGGAGTGGTTTAACGATCCATCAATCAAAATAAAAGTTTTTCTTAATGACAGTGACCTCAATAAAAATTTTCAATTTTGATAACGAAAATAAGAGTGTCTCAAAAGTTCAAGGACTATTACTGTAATTCAACCTTACCAATTTTGACAGGATTGGTAGACCACCCAATGATTGATGATATGAGGGGTTTTGTGTTAATATCGAAAGAATATGGCATGGATAGATAATAAGGATTATTATGCACCAAGTGATTTTGGTTGTAAATAAATTATTATTCCTTTAAACTTTCAATGTCAAACTATTAAAAATTATCTTTGAATATTTATTGTCTTGTTCTTACCTCGTATTACTAAATTATGAAGCTATTCTTTTGGTTTCCCATCCATGCCCATGTATCTCATTCATGAAGAAGAAGAAAAATATATATTTTTCCTTGTTATCAACGGATTACATGGTTAGTTTCTGAGTACAAATTATGCTTTCTTTCCCAAAGTGGGGAGACAAAAACATGACCAAGATTACATCCTAGTCATTCTCGAGAAAGCTGCTTCTCTTCTTCAAAATTTCTTATCCTACACAAATCAATACAAATGCAAAATTGCTATGTACAAAGAATTCATTTTTGGGGTACTTAAAAGAAGATGCCAATGACTAATAGCTTTGTGTTTTACTTGTTCAGATTGATCTTTGATCCCCCTTCCTGTTTTTTGTTCGACGGGGGAAACGTCAAAGCCTGGATCTCATTCTTTGCCGGCAACCTCAGCTACCCTTTTTCCGGTGTCACCTATGGGGCAACGGCGAACATTGCTTCTCTTGGGATTTAACTTATCTCTTCTATCCTAGTGATAACTTCGTTTAGGGATAATCGTTCATCGGGGTTACCCTCAACGCAATCAGCTCCGATCTCGATGACTTTAAGCATCTTATTAGTCGAAGATGTATTGTTTGCTATCTCAGGATCAATCAATTCTAAAGGTCGGTTCTCCGATATTGATGTTTGTACCCATTGCACGATATCGACCCCATGCTCGTCGTTATTCGGATATTGTGAAGGATACTTGCCTGTCATGGTCTCCAGGATGACAATTCCTAGACAATAAACGTCTGATTTTGGGGAGACTTTATGGTACTGCACATATTCTGGGGATTTGTAAGCGAACAAAACTTGGGCATAATTGTCGAGGTTCGTCAGTGGTTGAAAAGCGTAGTCACTTAGTAATGGATCGTATCTTTCGGTTAAAAGAATATTGCTGGATTTGAGGTTTCCATGGGGTAGCTCGTATGTTTCGAACTCTGTGTGAATGTAGTTGAGTCCTTGAACGATTCCTTTGATGATCTTGAAACGACTCGGCCAATTTAAACTCGCATGAGCGAGATCTCGAATACCTGAGATTTAGAGTTTTTCATCGGATTCAGAGAGGGAGAAGCCATTGAATGTGTATGCGAAATGAAAATCAGTAAAAAGATTCATGTGATGACATTACCATGCAAGATGAATGACAAGCTGCCCGTAGGCATGTACTCTGAAACAATAAGCTTCTCCTCTTTCCTAAAATGGTATGCAAATGGCGTCAAGATATTGCGGTGCTTTAACTTCCCGAACCTCCTGATTTCGGCGTCGAACTCATCTTTTCCCAGCCTGTTCATCCCCCTCATTCTCTTCACCACCACGGAAAATCCATTGGTCATCTTAGCCTTGTATGCCCCATCACGCTGTTTCCAAGCACCTCAGCTGATGCCTTCATCAAATCCTGCAACCCGAATTCACCCCTCTCGTCATTCACTATGACCATGTAACCCGTCCCACTCTTGGATGCGATCAAGTCCCTCTTCGACCCCGATTTACTCCGCCGGCTAGGCTCGGCGGACCTTTTGTGGATGGACTCCAGTGACAACCGGACTGGCAGCGCCTCGGTTTTTACAGATTGCTTGCTTACTACGCCAAGATTATCGGCCTTCTCGGTCCCATGCTTTGCAGAACAGGCGGAGGCTATCAGAACGCAGAGTAAAAAAAATATGGTGATGGCAAAAAGCAGTGCCCTGCCATCGGACTTGGCTTTGGCTTTATGATCAGGTTCATGTTTTAGGCAAGAATTTGTGACTGGTTTCCCGCAAAGGCCTGCGTTTCCTCGGAATGAATCTTTGCTGAACTTGGCAAAACTCTCTGGGATATATCCTTCCAAATGATTAAACGATACGTTAAAGGATGTCAGAACGTTGGGATATTTCAATGGCGGGATCGATTCTGTAAAATGGTTTCCCTCAAGGTGGAGTTCTTTGAGATGGGGTAGTTTCATAACGGAGTCAGGGACATGTCCGGTGAATTTATTTTCACTTAACCACACTTTCTTCAGAGACTTCATGTGTGCAAAGTAATCATCCGGAATCTCACCGTTGAACTGATTATGAGATAAATATAGAGACTTCAAAGCACCGAGCTTGTTGAATGGCGGGATGGGACCTGCAAACGAGTTCCTCATCAAGCTAATGGATCTCAAGTAATGAAGTTGAAGCAGAGGCTGAACGTCAATCGTTCCCGAAAGGTGTAAATCCTCTAAATGGAGACCGATAATGTCCTCTCCATGGCACCTCTCGCCGAACCACCTTCGCAGACAAGGAGAGATACCTGATCCAGCAGTCCAACTGCTCAAACAACCTTGTGGGAACGATGCCTTGAACTTAATCAGGGCTTCAGCATCGGATTGGGAGGAACAAAGGGTGGGAAAAGAAAGAGTGACAATGAGAAGGGAAGGGAGGAAGCGAACAGCGACCATTACCGACCGGAATTGTTAACGCTCCGGATAGAAACGAGCCGCTGCTCGGAGAAATCTTGTGGTTTCGTGAGTCTTGGTTTGGGTTGTGGTGTTTGGTATTGTTTAATTGGTTTGCCATGCTGGTAAACTGTATTGTGGCTTTGAGTGGAGGAGGTAGCCCAGCAACTTACATTCGGTGCTAATAATAGATTCGGCAATTGAGGCTTGAGATTGGAGAGAGTTTATGGGATTGAAAGGTAGAAAAGTGAGGCCCTCAAATTCCTTTTTACCCTGCCAATGCCCGTTGACATTTTTGGGTTGACACCATTGGGGATTTAACTTCATTCTCGGACATGGAGGAAGCTACTTAACATGGCATCTCTTGAAATCCCATCGATGAGCACAAATGGAAGATCAATGCTATATGAATTCTTTGTAGGATGGATTCTTGTCACTGTCACTATAATAATAAATGTAATATGATCGAAATGAAGCACGTAAACGCAATATAAATATTTGGCTTAAGTACAAAATAAGTACTCAAATTATACCTTTTTTTTCGGAATAGGTGTCTAAAGTATTTTTTGGCCCATCCAACTGTCTAACATTACTAACGTTACCACCTCGGGCCGTAACAACCGTTAAATGAAAATTGTTATCCATTCATTTGTTGACATGTGGTTATGGTTTGAAATTGGCTTAAGTATAAAATAAATGTACAAACTATACATTTTTTCTGAATAGGTGACTATAATATTTTCGGTCCATCCAGGTGCCTAAATTATAAATGTTGTTACTTTAGGTGCATGACGTTACAACGCTACCACTTTAAGTGTCTCGGTGTTAACGACCGTTAAAACTTCTGTTAAGTGATACGTGTCACAAAACTTAAGAATTTTGAAATATTTATTTTTTCAAAAATAAAAAATATTATTAAAATAAACGTGCTCCATCCCCCTCCCCTCCCCTCTTGTCATTTTAATTTTCATGACCAAACGACCAAAATTCAAACGGCTGGCCAATCGAATGGCTAAGGGTCCATTTCCACAATCGATTAAACAGTAGAATACTACGATCGATCAAATAAATTTAATGGATTGAGTATTTGAGATTTCATGGATTGAAATTTACGGATTTGAGAATTTTAGGTTTTTGAGATAATATTAAGAGTTGTAATTGGTTAGTGGGTGGTCTGCCGCTGACGAATGGGTGGTCGGAGATGACTGTCTGTTGAAGTAAATGGACTAAAATAATATATTTAAAGAGTTTAGGTTTTTTTGGTATTTTAGAAAAAATAGGGGTTTTCGTAAATAAAATATTTTTAAGTTTTTATAAATAAAAATTTTAAAATTATTAGATTGTGACACGTGTCACTTAACTGGCGTTTTTAACGACCATTAACACTGATGCACCTAAAGTGATAACGTTTATAACGTCAGACATCTTAAGAGCTAAAGTTTATAACTTAAGCTCCTAGATGGGTTGAAAAATACTATATGCACCTATTCGGGAAAAAAAGTATAATTTAAACACTTATTTTATACTTAAGCCAAATTCAATTTATGATCATGTGACAGCAAATGAATAGATAAAGATTTTTATTTAATGACCGTTATGGCTCAGACACCTAGGGTGTGTTTGGTTCACGGAATCTGACATTACCAAGGGGAATATTTTTTCCCGGAATTGTATTCCCACGTTTGTTTCACAAAATCTTACATTACCGAGAATACTACATTACCAATAGTAGTATTTTTTTGTTAAAATTGTGGGAATGTCATTATCTCCAAATTCTTAGACAATCTTATATTCCCACCACTTTGGATAAAAATACCTTTGGACTAATGAATTCTTTTTATAATGATCCTTCTAAATTCTTATTTTTTATACTTTACTCAAAAACAAAGAGTTTAATTTACTAAAATATTAATAATTTTGAGAATTTAAAATATTTTATATTTTTAATATTTAATATTCAATATTTTACTATTTATAATTTTATGGGATGAAAAAATAGTATTATTATAAAAATGTAATTATTTAAAACAATATTTTACTACCATAATATTATTTTTTATAATATATTATATTTTATATAATAAATATGATACTTATGAACATTATTTAAAAATATAAATTTAATATACTAATTATATTAATTATATATTAAATGTAATTTCTCCTCAAAAGTTAGATAGTATAACGATTAAAATAATTTTATGAATTTTCATTCAAATATTTATAAATTAATATTAAAGTTTAACTTTAAAAAATATATCACAACGATAATTTGGTAAACTATGCATCTAAGTAATCTTATATTCCTTTAACCAAACATTGTAATTTTATATTCCCGCTAAATAAATCAAACAAGGTAATATAATATTCTCATAGCAATATTACATTCCAGTAATGTTATTTCCGAAGGTAATCTTACATTCCATAAATCAAACGAACCCTAAATTAATAACATTAATAACATTAGACACTTAGATAAACAAAAAAATATGTTGACCAAGTAAAGTAATTTCTATAACGAAATCATTAGCTTTGATGAGCATGATATTCTCACCAACCGGTTTTTAAATTCCCTTCATTAACAAGACAGATAGCAACACTTAAACAGTTTCACCCACTTCGAATAATGCATATTGCAGAAGCAAACATCGAAGCTTGTAAAGGAACAATCTTTTACGAAGGTGCCTTGGGATCGAGGTTTAGTGAACAACTGCAACGAAGACGCGTGTCATAAAATAAACCAAGAACCGTATAACCTAATGCCTCCCTACCCCAAAAAAATCTCACCATCGCCATTACAGACTTCCCTTGAAATGCACTACTCCATCTACGGGCAAGATCCACCAGCTACTGATGGTTTAACATTTCACCTAAAAAAAATCCCTTTTGCATTTTTCCTCTCTTCTTGTACAAAAGATCCTCCTTTTCTGTGTTTCGAATCCAATTGTCAAAAGACTTTTTCTTGAACCGAATTTCTCCTATCACATAAAAACCCAGTAATGGTGGAGACATTGCCAGTCGGGCGGTCTCAGTTACAACAACAAAGGGTGGAACTTAAGAGATGGATTACGGCATTCCTTACGTCGCATAAAACTCTCTTGATTGTCCTCTGGATTGCGGCTTTCGGTTCGGTTTTCTTCTGGCAACGGAATATTGGTGGGGCTGGGTTATCGATATTCGGCAAAACTGGACCGGGTCGGCCTATACCCAAGGTGCGGCCTTTCGCGTTTAATTTGACTGATTTCGGTGGTGTTGGGGATGGGGTCGCTGATGAAATGGCGGCGTTCGAGAGGGCTATCTTGGCGATCTCCAAGTTTGGGAAGAAAGGTGGTGCGCAGCTCAATGTGCCGCCCGGGAAGTGGCTTACGGCGCCGTTCAATCTCACTAGTCATATGACTTTGTTTCTAGCTAAAGATGCTGAGATTCTTGGAGTCCAGGTTTGTGCTTTCAATTTAATTTCGTTTTAAAATGATTATTTTTGCCCCTCTTAATTCAATCTTCACGCTGAACTCAATAGCTTATAAGCATGTTTAAGATTGGCTGTGAAAATAAATCTCTATTTTGGTTTGCTAACTAAACAAGCTTCTTTTATGAAGACGAGATTGAGTTTCTCACACAAATTATTTAACATGTTTAGGTATAGGTTATGAACTGTGATGAAGGGGAACTAATAATTTGTTGTTAGTTTAAGTGATTTTTCGGTGTTGAAGCTAGTTGCTGTTCTGTTTAAAACTGGTTTTGGTGGCTTCAAGTTGTGATTGTTGTTAACAAATTACAATGTCTATTGCTAATTTTGGATGTGATCTTTTTCTGGTATTATACAGGATGAGAAGCGATGGCCTTTAATGCCTCCATTGCCTTCATATGGGCAGGGAAGAGAGCATAAGGGAGCTCGGTTTGGGAGTTTGATTCACGGCCAAAACCTCAGAGATGTTGTTATAACTGGTTAGCTTATTTAATCTGCCCCCTAAATAAGCCAGTAATTTCAGTTTTTAGATCAATTTTTAGTGTTTTCTTTGGTTGCTTGATCGAAAAGTTTGCTCGCATGATGGGCCTTTTCAGTTTCTCTGTCAGTAATCAAGGATCGAGCTAGGATCAAACATTGGATGGGGCTAGATTGTTTTACATCAAAAGAATAAGGATCTATTAAGTATTTAAATCTAAAAAATGGGAGGGGAAAAGGCCTTATTTGACTAATGTTTAAACTAAAATGGACTTAAAATGTTATTATACCAAATATTTGGCAAAAGAATTACTGGTAACTTACTGCAAATGGATTCTTAGTGGCTCTGACTCTGTCTGTAATCTATGACTTCTTTGAAAGTTATGCATTTTATGATTCCGAACTTTTGGTAAAAGAAATGCTGGGAACTTACTGCAAAATGGAATTTAGATTTAGAGTCCAATTCCATCCGTTTATTTTATGACAATTATCGCCAAAACTTCATAGTAAAATTCATTAGTGTATAATGGAACTTGTATTTGTAGTCTATCCACTGTGAATGACCCAACTTAGCTTTTCGAAGTTATAGCACATAATAGGTGATACCTATAAAATACTATTTTGTAGGTTGATTTCTAAACCTGTTTTGTGTTCTCTGCATCTTTTATCAAAGTTTTCTATCCTGCTTCCGGTATAAATTTTAATTCCACGTGCCAAATTAATGAAGCGATCGTAAATGGTTGAAAATTTTGTTCGGCTGCTAGCAACAAATGTAATGTAGATTTGATTTGCTCAAATTTTATCTAAAATCTTTGCAGCTGGATGAGTCCCTTGTAGATGTGATTCGGATAAAACGATGGTTAAGACCTTATTCTGCTAAACTATTTTTGCCGACCGAGGCTGATTTTACCCTTTGTCTCTACAAATCAACAGGGCATAATGGTACCATAAATGGACAGGGTCAATCATGGTGGAAGAAGTTTCGCCAAAAGCTACTCAACAACACCAGGGGTCCACTTGTGCAGATAATGTGGTCAAGTGACATTGTAATCTCTAATATAACCTTACGTGATTCTCCGTTTTGGACTTTTCATCCGTACGACTGCAAGAATATAACAGTCAGGAATGTTACCATCCTGGCTCCAATATTTGAAGCCCCGAATACCGATGGAATTGATCCTGGTAAGTAATCCTCGATCATAAAATTTAAACTTCTGTCCATGAGAATTTTGGTTGCTAAGGCTCTAGATACAGTTATTATCCTTACTATGAACAGTTGTTGACAATGTCCATTCTTCTTGAAAAGTGTAGAAAAATATCCATTCATGCTATGAACTACACAGAAACATTAAGGAGAGAACTTATGAATTTGCATCATAAACTGAATTACGTTGTTTATCATATTGCCATCCAGGTCGAATCTACACCCATGTTCACTACATTTCAGCTTGTTAATTTGATGTAGGGTAAAAGCAGAGATTATTTCATTCTAAATGTAACCAAGTGCAAGTCATTTATGTCGTAAATAGATTCTTGTGAGGATATGGTGATAGAAGATTGCTACATAAGCGTTGGGGATGATGCAATTGCCATAAAAAGTGGCTGGGACCAATATGGTATAGCTTACGGACGACCCTCAAGAAACATTCTTATCCGAAACCTCATCGTCCGATCGATGGTCAGGTGAAATTTCTTAAATTAGTTTTCCTCCATCTTCATGGATATTCTACTGCCTGATTGTTTTTTATGTTTTCATAAGCCAACCATATGCAGATTACTCTCCATGCAATCATCTGTAACCACCGCACTTAATATTTGATAATTTATGTTGTCTATGATTTTTTTTCACTGAAAGAGAGAAACAGAAGTCCCATTTTTTGTAATAACTTATGTGTTAAACCAGTTATGAATTATATTTAGCATGACAGTTTCGTGTTAAATCGTGATTCCTTCCGTTCGCAAAAGCATGTTACAAAATTCTTGAGATACTAACTAAAATTCTGCCTTGGCTGAACCATGCCACAGTGCTGGCGTGTCGATAGGCAGTGAGATGTCTGGCGGGGTTTCTAATGTAACTGTGGAGAACGTCCTCATCTGGAGTTCTAGACGTGCAGTTCGAATCAAAACTGCGGTTGGAAGAGGTGGATATGTTAGAGATATAACCTATCAGAATCTTACTTTCGATGGTGCCCGAGTTGGAATTGTCATCAAGACAGACTACAACGAGCACCCTGATGATGATTTTGACCGAAAGGCCCTCCCAATAATAAGGGACATCAGCTTCACTGAGATACACGGTCAAGGAGTCCGTGTACCAGTTAGAATATACGGCAGCGAGGACATTCCCATCAGAAACGTGACATTTAGGGATATATCAATCGGGATAACATACAAGAAGAAGCACATATTCCAGTGCGCCTTCGTTGAAGGCCGTGTTATAGGGACCATCTTCCCCGCTCCTTGTGAAAACCTTGATAGATACGATGAAGAAGACAGACTCGTATCACGCTCTGAATCCCAAAACGCAACGGATATAGATTATGACATATGAGAAAATGGCGCTTCACTTCTAGGATCAAAGCTCCAAGCCATGAGAAGTGCAAGTGTGTATGAGCAAGAACAATGGTGGCGCAGAGCAAGCATGTTTATTTCTTTTCCATGCCGTTTTTTGGCTCCACTTTTATAACTTGTTTGGTTCACCCAGTTGTGTACAGAGAATTTCAAGTAGTCTATATAGCTTATATAAATTTTCATCAGCTCACCGAAATCAAGTTCATAAATGCATTACTCCATACCCCCATTATATAAAGTTTATAATATAATATAACTTGAGTTTTTGGTAAGCGGTCATTTTCCTTGCCTAATTATTAAGTAGAGTTATACGGTTCAAAATACAATACTCCTGTCTTACTTAAGTTGTTTTTTTTTTATGTTTTAAAAAAATAGTTGACCCTATTCCCATATGTAATGGGGTAAGGGAGAGATAGGATAGTAGGCTGCTATAAACAAGAATGGATGGTATCCTAAAATTTTTGATTTTTTTAGATATTTGAAGTATTTTTCATGTATTTTATACGAATTACCTAATTTTATAATTTCGTGTATTTTTAAAATTTTTAATATAATTTCTTAAGTTTGCACCGCTGATATAAATTTTTGCGTCCTCTCTTATTCTACATATATTATTATTAAATAATATTTTTATTTAAATTTTATAAATTATGAGTACAGTAAATTATGTAGTTAAATATAGTAAATACAAAAATATATTAATATAATATAAATATAAATGGATATTTTATTTTTTTTAAATTTTATATAATTGAATGCAAACAAAAATTTTTATGTATACTTATATCGAATTAGATTTTATGTATTATATTACATATTAATTATAAATTTAATATAAATTTAATATTTATCCTATTTTTAGGGGGAAAATATTAAAAAAATGATTATCATAAGTCATAATCTACGCAAACAACCAATTGATCTAGTGGGATGGGCTTGTAACACCCCGATTTTCTTGTTAGTAGTTTTGAGTAAAACCCGAATGAGTTGTTAATGGGTTAAGGAACCATTCGAGAGTGTTAGGCTAGTAAATGGTTAAATTTTGGTTTGGGCTTAGCTCAACAAGTCTTAAAAAGGGTATTTTTGAGTTGAGTAACATAGGAGAGGGACTAGGAGTGCAATTAACCCAAAAACTGTTTCAAAGGCTGAATATCAATTAAGGTTGGTGATGCAATCGAGCAAACTCTCTCATTCCTCTTTTGCATTTCCCTTTGTCCTCATCTTCCAACCTTGTCTTCTTCCTCCCTTTCAAACTCTCTCATTCTTCTCCTTGAGCCCAAATTAAAGGTGAGAACTTGTTACTCAACATCTCCACTTCGAAATTGTGAGGTAAGGTCCGAAATCACCTCTCCAAGAGCTTCATTTTGAGCTCTCAACTTGGTAGTTTGGCCATGGAAGCTTGAGTGAAAGTTGAGTGGGGTTTTGAGTTATAGAACCCTTAGGACTCCAAATCCATTTTGGGAGATTAAAGATCCTATTTCCAACCTTATTAGATCCTTAAATGAGTTTATAACTCTCTTCTTTGAAGTGTTCTAGTAAGAGAAGAATATGAAAGCTCCAAGGGCAAAGATAAGGAGAATGAAGTGCTTGCGTGATTTTGAGGTCTTTTTTATAACTCTTAGGAGTGATGTAACACATTTCTAACCTTTCCGTACTGCTTGTAGATCAAAATGTTAAGCTTTGATGCATGTTGTATGTATAAGTCTTTGTTTGCACTTGGAAGGAGTGTAAGACATGAAAGGGGGTTTGTTGTGTATTTTAAAGATAGGTAGTGATATTATAACACCCAAACGTCCATCTTTTCCCTAGAAATAATTGTATGGACGTTGGTGACTTAAATAGGCATGTCATGACAAACTAGTGATTTTTTTAGAAATGATCGATTCCTTAGGGGAAAGGATTGATCCCTTACCAAAAAGGATCGATCTCTCGACTGAAAGGATGGATCCCAAACTCTCTGTTGTGTAATGGATCGATCCTTTTGAAAAGGATCGATTCCTCGGGAGAAAGGAACGATTCCTTTTCAAAAGGATCGATTCATTGGGGAAAAAGATCGATCCATTTGTTGTTTTACCGATGAAAAAAGTGGAATTTCATCCAATAGAGGTCTAAAGTGTTATGAAATGTTGTCTTGGACTCAACATGTTTGAATGAGTTCAGTTTGGTTCATTGATTGATTTATCAAATTATTTAAACCCTAAACTAATTAAAATGATCAAGCTCAACTAATAACGCTACGAAATAAAGTGACATAAAATTAGCCTTATTTGATACTCGAGGAAACGACGAGGACACTCGAGTTACTTAACAACGTGAGCGTTTACGTGTATAAAATATTCGGATATATCCAACCTAATGCTTAGGCACTTAAAATGTTAGTTGGATGTCGTGCCAATGCTACGTGACCCGGGCATATCTCGAATACTCTTGAGGAGTAGGCTAATCGGACAATTGTCGATGTTGTGTGACCCGGACTTGACACGAGTGTTAAGGAGACACTGATGTTGTGCGACCCATGTCTTCTTTAAGTGTTGTAAGTAAAGAGTGGTGTGAGTTCCGTGATGCTATGTAACCCCGAACTACACTATGATACTTACAGTTTCCTTGAGTGTTGTTTTGCTCATGACTATGTTGTATCATGCTTATATATTGGATGCATGTAGTATAACTTGGTTATTTTTTGTGGCATTGGGTGCTCAGGTCAATAGGTGTTAGTTGAGGAGCTCTTCGCCAGACTTGGATTCCCAACTCGACTTCTTCAGAGTATTTTTCGAGAGTTTTAGAGGGCATGTATTATTATAGACCCTTATTTGTATCTTGAGTCGTAAACTCTGTATTTTAAATTATTTATATATTTTGGAGTCTTATGTTTGGAGCTCCCCGTATTAAATACTTGTATTTAGTACTTGCTAGTATTGGAATTTTATGAATGATACTTTCATGTAACGTTTTCAAAAGAAATGGTTAGTTGATTACGTGGTTCTGTGTGACATCGTAATTCAATGATCTTTGGGTTGAATTAGATTAAGGTGTTATAAAGGTATTAGGTCCCTTAAGCAAGGTCATGGGTTCGAATCCTGATGATTACGAATATAGTAAACTAGATTAAGAGAGTCGTCATTATCTTTGTAGTATTCGATCTGGATTAATTAATCAATATATTAGATACCGTTGATCATATATTAAAAAAAAGTCATAAACTGCAAATGGGGAAGAACGTGTGATGGAAAAGAAAGGGGGAGAGAGAGAGAGAGCTCACGATTTTAGCATGAAAACATCAGTCCCTTAATACCTCAACTCACGAGACAAAAGGAAAAGATTCGTAATGGTATGGGGCGGTAATTTTCACCAAATGAAAGGGTATATCGTCATTAAGCATCGTCCACGTGTACTTTTAATATTGGATGGTCTGCCGGTGTGCGGTGCATGTGCGCCTACCAGTACCACCAACCCGATCTTTCTTTCTCCCCACCCCTCCGCGTTTCTTGCGAGGTTGACTCTTCCCTCTTTTCTCTATTTTTTTCTTTTCTTTTATTTTCAATAATTTATTATTTCGATTTCTTTCCACAAATTCTCAATTTGAAATATTAAATATGATATATTAGTTATTTCTGGTTTTTATTATAGTTGGAAAAAAAACAGGACATCTTTAATCTCATTTATTATTGGAATTTGATTTTCTTTTATTAAGGATCATTTTTATCGTAATTGAGAAATAATAAATAAAATTTAATGTAGTATCAGTAAATAAAAATTTTAAATTAAATAATATAAAATATTTTTATCAAAAAATATATTTATTAAATTTAGATTATTGTTTAATGTAGTATCAGTAAATAAAACAATTTTCCTAATGATTTTAAAACGATGATACATATTAAGTTTATTTATTTTTTTTATTTTTATGAAAACATGTTTTCTCACTGATGGTGTATTGAATAATAATTTGAAGATAAAATTAAAACGTTTAAAATTATTAAAAAAATTAAATAAAAGTTACAATTTAAAAATAAAATATAAATATTTTTAAAATTTAAAAACCTAAAGGAAAACCCAAAAAGAGAAAACAACAGAAAAAACACGTGTTTGAAAACCTAAAACAAAGCAAACAATAAAACATTGAAACTCGAAAAACTCAAGCTTTAACCCATCACCATCCTTGTCTCCCCAGCTTTTCGTTTCCAATGATCAAAATAACCATTTTCTCCTCCTACTCCACCTCGTATTATTCCTTAGCTGAAAAGCATCCCAATTTAAGTAAACCCTTAATGAAATTGTAAACTCAAGTTCAAAGATTGAGGTCATTTGATTCGCAAATTATCATCTGGAAACCCAAAAGAGCATCAGGGGTCAAAACACCTGGATTCTGTTTCGTCGGAAGTATGTCGTGTTCGTCGGAATCCGCGGGTATGAAACCGGCGATGTTACCGGAGAAACCAAGCTTTGCCCAAACTTGTAATTTGTTACGTCAGTACTTGAAGGAGAAAGGTAGCTTCGGAGATATATCTCTGGGAATGACATGCAACGTTGAAACTAATGGTATGCTGTTCGTTTAATTTAAAATTTTTGCTTCTTTTTTTTCAGTTTGTTAATGAAGTTCGATTAAGCTTCGTGCTGTTTCTTTTACTTCAAAGTTCAACCTTGATCACCCCGTTTTATCTTTCGGAAATTTGAGATCAATGCTCGAAGTTAGGGTCTTTTGTTTTTAATTTGTTTGTAAGATACTGGTCCTCAAAATCCGATTTGCAAATTGACGTATTCATAATTAATGTTTCGAAACAGTCAGAACACACGCCCTTTAATTTCTCGGTCATCCCCTGAAATTACTCAAATTTTAAGAACTTGTTTTGGAAAAAAGAAATTGTGAAGAAGAAGATAGAGCACGTGATTCCACTGTTTCAATCTTTGCGGGATGACAGAGATCTGAACCATGGACGTATGTTTTTTTAGAATGAAATTCCGTTGAGATTTTATCGTTTTAAGTAGACAGGAATAGGGTCATCTGATTCTTCGTTATAAATAGCTTTTACTTGGTTTTGTTCGTTTAAAAGAAAAACACAAGTCGCTTAAACATTAAATATTAAACCAAGTTCTACAACAACAGAATTCGGGTCTAGTCTCTAATGTTTCGACGCTTTATTGATGGATTTGTTGCAGAGACCCCACGGGTGCTGCCTACGACTATGAATTTGTTTCCGGTCGTTGATGATAAGTCCGGTGATGTTTGTAGCCGAACGGTTGGAGCTCGTAGGAACTTGAGATCCATGGAATTGTTCCCTCAAGGAGCTGGTTTGTCGGCACCGGCTCCCAAGGACGATGTTCAAAGAAGGGTTGAGTGTAGTGTTACTAACACGAAGAAGTCTGAGCCTCAAACTGCGCAGATGACCATCTTTTATGGTGGACAAGTGGTTTCGTTTAGTGATTTCCCAGCTGACAAAGCCAAGGAAATCATGCTTTTAGCTAGCAAGAGCAGCTCGCAAACCGACAACGTCAATCCCACCCTTTTTACTTCCAGCAGAACAACAAGTCCAATTGAATCCAGCTTCGGAGTTCCTCCCATCTCGAAATCGGTTCAGCCTGCTCAGCGACCCGTTCCTGGCGGTAATCCTTGTCGTTCACTTTAGTTTCTTTAATTCAAGGAGTTGGGAGATGGAGTTTTGCTTCATGGTTCATGTTTTATATTGGATTTCTTATTAGCTTTTGTGTCTATTCGCGACAGATCTTCCAATTGCAAGGCGAGCTTCGCTGCATAGGTTCCTAGAGAAGCGCAAGGATAGGTAGGCCTAGAGAAGTGCTCTGCAGTTCTTTCAATTTTTCATTTCATCAGTTTCGTAGGTTATTGCATATTGATTGCGTTCAGAATTTCGAGTCGGACTGGCACCATAAGTTGTTGTGTGGAATTGTTGATGTTGATATGGTTATGATCATTTTTCAGGATCACCACGAAAGCGCCATACCTGATAACTAGCTCCGCCGCATCACCTTCCAAGTCCGGCGACAGCAAGTCATGGCTGGGCTTGGCTGCTCCATCACCATAGTAATCTAAGCCATCGTCTGAACTCTTGGTGTTTTTTTTAAGGCTTTTCTTAGGCTTTGTATCCTTTGTTCTCTTTTTTCAGCAGGGCAGGCCTGCTGTCTTATTACCAATCTATTCATGCTTGCTTCATATTATCAGCTCTAAAGCCCTCGTAGATCGTAACTCCCAGTCAACTCTGACTGTTGATTAGTTTAATGTTAGTTATTTGTGTCGAGGAATTTCCGGTTTATGTCAAGTTTGATTCAAAATTTTGTTTTTCCGGTTTATGTAATAAAATAAGAGAATCCATTCCAGGTTCTTGAGACTCCACTTTAAACTTAAAGAAGCTTTCAACATGTGAAAATGAATACCTGTGAGTTGTGATCATCAACAATTTTCAACATCTTTTTGTCCCTTTAATACACGCCTTCTTCCATGAAAAGATATCTCCACAGGAACGCGTATTTAACTGATAATCATTTGGAACGCGTCAATGTATATGCAGTCCACACCAAAAGCCATAGTCTAATGTTTCGGCTCACCAAAAGCCATGTGCTTGTAGATTTGATGGTGACATCTAAACCTAAACCTAAAATTCAACGGATTGATATCGAGTTTTAGATATATATTTTTGGGTTAGGATAGGATCAAATTTTAAGTATATATTTTTTAATTGGGTCATGTCGTCAAAATGTCGGCCCGGCCCTAGTTCATGGGGAAACAAACCTACTCCACCAGGAACAAACTCTGCCCCTCTGCCTCCACCACCCCTGCACCTTGCGGCCGATGACTAATATATATATAGCGTTGGCAATGAACACGCTTTCTAACTTTAAAAAAAATGAAAGACATTTTAGATGCCATTAAATTGCGTCGGTGGGGATTGCAAAGGGCTAACGGCAGAAGCAAAGCTATATGTAGTCGAAAATTCTTTTTGAGATTCTTCAATTTCAGAAGTTTTTTAAATGATAAAATAATTATTTAAGTGGTCCAAAAAGAAGTTTAAGCAACTAATTTAAAAATTGTCATGCCAAGCCTGGCGAACCATGTGGCTGGTATCTAGCATGTGCAATAATATCGATGGGTAAGATGCAACATTCATGATCGAGTAATGTCGGCGTCACAATGCATTGATGGAACAACTTAATCCAACAGGAGATGGCAAGTTGGGGATCATTTCCAATTGGGGGGGACTCAGAAAGTCAGACGATGATGGTGAAGAGGAAGATGAATCCAATTCGGGAATGATATTTCGGTTACTTCAAGTTGGGATCTGTCCAAAGCAACTCAAAAAGTCAAGCCGCAATGGAAAAGAGGTAGTTAAAAACCAATACCATAATGTTCCTTTATAGACAAAACCTCAAAAACAAGAAACCTGTTAGGTTTGTTCAACGAATCTTTCGCTTCTTATTGGCTTATTCATCGAATTCCAGACCCACGAGTTTCATTCCCACTAAACGACGACGAACAGTCTCAAGCTTCGATTTTTAATTTTTTTTGGTAGGCAAAGATTGTTGAAACCAAGAAGCAAGGCTATGAAAATCAGCTACAGAAACTTGCAATCATCTTTTCATCTACAAACTTAACAAATCTTTGCATTCCACTAACATGGGATCTACCACTACCAATGAACCAGTTTCAACTTAAAAATGAGAAAAGAAAAGAAAAGCTTGTCAGGCTAGAAAGTCCAAACACCAGGCGGGTGAAAATAAGCGCTGTCGGATCTGTCTCCGACACCGCCGCTATCGAAATGACACTCTGCGTAAGAATTACCAGCAGCAGCCACTTCCGTTGCTTCTTTCTCAGAAACCCGACCCGCGTGCCTCAAAGCCGCTTCCTTGATTTGAACCGCCGTCAAATCACCAGCGTCCGCTATATCCGGAGGATTCTCGGGGAAGTTAAGCTTTGCCGAATTCCCCCGCAGACAGAAAACGGCGGCGTCGTAGGCTCTCGCGGCTTCTTCCACCGTCTTGTAAGAACCCAACCATATTCTTCCTCTGCTACTGGGTTGGCGTACTTCCGCCACCCACTTCCCCCACTTCCTCATCCGCACACCCTTGTAACGGCTGCCGTCATCCTTCTCCCCTATCGGCCTCACCATTTTTCTTCTCCTTGGATTCTCTCTTGTCCTTGATTATTCTTATATAGTAAAAGATGAAATAACATAGACTGATTTGCAAAGCAAAAGAAATGTGAAAAAAAGGTGGGAGGCGGCGGGGCGGAGGGAGCGCGTGGACATTTGATAAGATGCCACGTAGAAAAATAAATGGGAAATGCGTCCGGGATTTTTCGGTGATGGAAACGTGAGGACCCGAGGTGGAAGCTTTAGATCCGTTGGATATGGATAGAGACGCAAAACGTGGGGACGGAATTTATTTGTTTTCATTACATGGATGGCGGACACGTAGAATTTAATGTTACCGTTGAACTTATAAAAATTTAAATAAAAAATTATAAAATTTTTACAAAAATATTTTTTTTAAAAGAATATATATATATACGATATTAAATTTTTTAAAGGTGATGACTACCCACCCGTTCGTTTAGGACTATCTCTTTTTAATATACCAAGTGATGATATAATTTGATATTAGGTAAATTACATGAATAGTCATTTAATTACATATAGACCTTCTTTAGACTAATGAATTAATAATTTTATCAATCAAATTACATAACTTTTAAATGGTATCAATCATTTATTGTTAATTGTTAATAACTTTTTTACATGGTATTTATTTTATAAATCTAAGGTTAATTTCAAAGACTCTTAACCTTTTGATATGAACACTTATATCTTTAGCATTTACGATGCTCGAACTCAGAACTTCAAGAGATAACAACAAATCCGTTAACCACTGAGGTTGTTTGGTTCGTGTGACGTGATAAAATGTTTATAACCATCTATTTGATTTTTATTATTTACAATTTTTATCAATTTAACTTTTATTAAAATATTATTTTATATTATCATCAATTTGATAGAATGTATAATTAACGAGAATCAAATTATAATTATATAAATTTATTTAACTGTCGTAATAAATGTTAACGACATATAATTTGAATAATATCATTTGAATAGTTAACTGTGATAAAAGAATAAAACAACAGTCAAATTTATTTTTTTATAATTAATAATTATTCAAGTAGTTTTCATTTTTATAGTTAAATTGAACATATAAAAATAATATTGAATTTGTTGAGGAATCCAAAATCCCAAGGAAAGGATCCAAATATCTTATAAAGCAATTCATGTACTATAATATAAGATATTAAATTCATGGAGGGTTGATGGGGCCTATCTTAGAGGTGCACAAAAAATTCGAATATCTGATTTTGCATAAAAAATATCCGAAATCGGATTTGGAAAAAACCGGTTTTTTAAACCGGATTGGATATTTTAAAACCGGATAGTATAACCGGTTTGGGAAAAAATTGGACGACCGGATTTTTTACCGGATTAAAAACCAGTTTTTTTAAAAAACTGGTTTTTTTCAAACCGAAACCGGTTACATCATCCGGCCCTCCAAACCGGTTATGATCCGAACAAATTTTTTTATAAACTGATTTTTTGACTTAGTGAAAAAACCGGATCGATTTTTATCCGGATCGGATTTAAATCCGGCTATGTGCATCTATGGCCTGCCTTGCCTTGCCTGGCCTGGAGATGTGGAACACCAAATCCCAGCTTGTTGGAAACTTCGAGAAAAGACAAATGTCTCTGCCAATAATTTTCACTATTCCATTTTTTTTTTCTGTAGCTCTCAGCTTTGTTAAGTTTGTCAATTGTCGTTGAAAATCTCAGTTTACTTTGTATGAAAAATTAGAAAAATGGATACTGTGGTCACCGATGCCATGAATTGTCATAGGCTGTCTTTACAGTCAGGGGCTGTCTTTACAGTCAGGGGCAGTCGGGCCAAAACAGAAACATGTAAGAATATTCCAACAGCATGCCCTGTTGCACGTAAAGAATAACATGCATGCAGTAGCTCACGGTAAAAATTTGTAGCAATTTTATCCATGCATAGGGAGTGGCTGTAATAATTAATATTAGGCACAATATGAACAAAGTTTATGCTAATTTTCATCTGCCATGTAATAGCTACAACGAAACTACGCGTCTTTAGGATAATGTGCTCTACATCACAGCATTTACAGGAGAGACGGTCAGATCAGCTGTAAATATTATACATCAATAGTCCCTTGCCCCCCACGCATCTTCTGCACTTTACGCCAATGAATCAGCACATTTACTGAAGGCTCAATCGCTTTGAATGAACAAGCATAGACCAGATTCATCCACACGCCCGGGACGAGTCCAAGGGAAGAGATATGTCGATATGATTTTTGTATCCGAATCTAGAAACCTTATCTGTTAAATGAGACCGTCGAGCCATCTTCGCAATGCCCTCTCCATGCATTTGCGTTTTCAGTCCCACTAAAGGCTTGATTGGAACTGCCACATTTCAAGATCACCATCCAAACTCATATGCTGTACTTCAGCTGATGACAGCATCTTTATGCTCTGAACATAACTTACAAATTCTCTGCAAAGATTAAAATTTCAGAAGTTATAAGATTTGCAGAGAGAAAATCTGAAAAGTTCAAAAGTTCAAAATGGGTTCATTCACTTACTCCCAAGGATCATCGCCAACAAGTAATATATCGTTTTCATGATCCACATAAACTAATTTTCAGAAATTTGTGGACCTTCCAGCTGCCCCTCGATACCAAACATGCGGGCTAGATCATGCCTGAGTTCATCGTACCCTTTGTAACGGGTCACATCAATTGATCTTCCGACAGAGCCACGCTTTTGCACCTTCATGAATTCAAACCAGCAACAAGCATATAGAGTTTTTCAGAAAGATAGAGATCATTTAGAAAGTTCCATAACTGTAAATGAACCTAGAATTAATAGGACTAGCAAGTACTGGTGAAAAAAGATACTCAAGTTTAGAGCTTAGAAACTGTCTAATTACACCGTACAAATGTTGTCCCAATTTTGTTCAAAAACTAGGTAGAATTACAAGGTTTAAAACTGGCCTCCTGAGCAATTTTTGGTTCAGTGTGCCAAAAATACTACTCTCTGCCCAAGTCCCATTAGGAAGTATGAAACAGATCCACCTTTTCTTCCATGAAATTAAAGCATGTCTATAAAAGAGAACAAACGAGGTAAGAAGCATAACCATAACTAGGGGGAGTACACACCTTTGTATATGTTCGCATGCTTTGAGTCTGGTTTGCCCACAATCCACCATTTAGAACTCCTGTGTCATTGATGGCAACATCATTTGAGCAC